GGAGGAAACAGCTGTAAGGTGTTTCTAGGTTTTCCAGCGTAGAAAACTTATTTCACTGATTATTTCTAACAGATGTAAATTAGTTAATCAGTGTTGTTCCTCGGCTATGAGCTCGGGGCAGCTCAGTGACCAAACCCTGCTTGTGAGTGGGCCTAGACAGGCTGGCAATACCCCTTGCTCAAATCAGGTTAAATAGCGGCTAGGCACCCAAGGAATGCCACAGCTGAACGATAAAAAAGATGGCGTTCTTTGACCAAACTGCACCATCTGCACATAAAGTTCGGTGAATATATCGTTCAGCTGTAGCGCCCTTTCGGCGCCTAGCTGCCATGCCACCCGAAGGAAGCACGAGGGCTGGGATACTGTCAGGTTGCCCAAGCCTAGACAGGGGAAATCGAGAGGCAGAGGTCGGGTTCGAACCAAGGACCTGCCGGTTAGTGAATTCGCGCTCTAACCACTTGAGCCATCTCTCCCGGTGAATATATCATTTATCGCCATGTGGTATCCAAAGATCCGGGCGGGTAAACTGTTCCCTGTCCCAGCCACCACTGACCGATCCAGCCTACCAAAACTTTGAAGTGTTGATCAGAACGGTGGGACCGATCCCTGTTGCGCTCTGATTTAGGATTCATTGCAACACACACAAGTTATGGGACCGCCCGTTTGTATAGTGCGTTCAGATAACAAGCAGTTAGCAAACAGACCACCAAGAGAGAGCCAAACTTGACCTCGCCTCTGGTGAAAAGAAACCAGTCACCACCCCAACGGCCTTCGGTCAGAAGCAGTCAAAAATTCTCCGACTACAATTTGAGTTTTCCTTTTTATCTATCAATCCTATGGTAAATTTTGTGGAGAGCCTGAACGAAGTTGTCCACTTGTGAAAGAGTTTCACCTTTGGGGTGGAAAACTGGAGGGCCAGTGGAGCGAATGACAATCTCAAGGTCGATGAGATTCCCGTTCGGGTTGGTTGGGTCAGAGAAGCTTTCGTTGATCTGTAACGTAGGCGTGACATCAGCTTGTCCGATAAGGGTCGACGCGCTCTATACATATGGGTCAAACCTGGCCACCGCGCATCGAGGACGTCAAAGCATTCTCGGGGTTTGAGCATCGATGTCTTCGGAGCATTGTCCAAGTCTGGTGGGGACACCTGATCAACACTGCTGAGTTCGTCGAATAGTGCTCGGAAGAAATAACTCGCCCTCGGTAGGCGAACTGATCACACTGCATAGGTTGCACAGGCTTGGTCACGTGCTCCATATGACGGTTAGCCGGCTGTTTTCGCACAAGCACTTGAAGGACAGGAACAACCCAGGAGAAGTCAGACAATGACTTGGAAGCGGAGTATGAAAGTTATTAACAGCAAACTTAGCTTCACTGGTCATTGCCGTCTCCGTGGATAGGAACCCCGAGGCGGTCCTCATCAGTGGTTAGAGGCATTGTCAGACATGGCCCAGTAGGGCCCTAAATGGCACTAGCACATCCAAACTATTGCCTTGAATGCATAGCTCCCCACCCAATCTCCCAAGCGAAAAGTCCACTGATAGCCTTGTATTTACGCACCACTCAAATCAGCTACCGCCTCCAATCTACCCCATTTCCCCGAATCATCGGTGAGCGAAACTATGGCAGCTAGAACCCCTGTAAGACACCCGACGAATGAATAATACCAAGTATAATGGTGAACGGACGAAATCTGGTTTATGCAATGAATACTGTACC